TCATCGGGGCGAAAATATTAAATGTTTTGTTATAGGTCAAGAATATAATTTCAATAAATTGACTGAGGAAGAAGTGAATTCACTCGGTTTGCCTTATGATTATGATTCTATTATGCACTATGCAAAAAATACCTTTTCAAAAGGCACTTATCTGGACACAATTTTACCTATGGAAATTCATGGAAAGAAGAGACCCGAGATCGGACAAAGAATCAGACTGAGCGAGGGCGATATCGCACAAACGAACCTTTTGTACAAGTGTCACAGTAAGAAGTCAACTCAATTGTTCTTGTGTTTTTGTGTTCTTGGAATTTTTAAATAAAATATTTATAAAATTTAAATATTGTTTCAAAAAGGAAAACTTGACATTGAAATATCATATTTATTAACTTTTACAATCAAATTTTTCGATAGCTGACACAGTATGAAATATGTATATTGATGAAAACAAGATTTAAGATAAATGAACGTACTAAAATTGAAAGATTAAAAAAATTGTTTCACTTTGTTTCGTTTAAAATATACATGTATGCCAGTGTCGTTTAACTAATTCAACAATTTAACCTGATTAATGAATAAATTTGGTGAATTTTTTGCAGAATGCGGTAGAACTTTTCAAGAGAACAGTGGTAGTTTCGGATCACCAAATCATCCGAATAATTCTCCGTCTGGTGATGGAGAACGGTGCGAATGGAGGATTACGGCGACGCATGGCGAACGTATTGTACTAAATATCACGTCTCTCGACATATTCAAAAGTGATTATTGTCGTAGTGATTATCTTGAGATTCGAGATGGGTACTGGTATAAAAGCCGAGTATTAGGTGAGAATTTTTCTTCTTTAAAAAATTAAGTTTGCGTTTGCGTTTGCGTTCTGCAATAATCCCAATAATGCGAATATATAATACAGGGAAAAAAGACATGGAAAAGAGTATTTAGAAAATGTATAAGGGATGCATTAAAATTATGGTTCTACCAGAGAACGCTATTCGTAGGAATTAGTAGCGATTCTATAATTCTCAAACTCTCCGCTTTTATTTAATTCAGGTCGATATTGCGGTAGCGGTAAGATGCACGAACCAATAGTGTCGAGTGGAAGTCGTATGCTGGTAACGTACGTAACGTCCACTAGGCAAAGTGGCCACCGTGGTTTTACGGCGAATTATGAGGCTGTTTGCGGTGGTGATGTTGAATTAGATGGCGTAGGACATCTGGAATCACCAAATTATCCAGAGGAATATCAATCCAGCAAAGAGTGCGTGTGGAAGTTATCTGTACCTCAAGATTATCAAGTGGCCTTGAAATTCCAGTCTTTCGAGATCGAGAATCATGACAATTGCGTGTACGACTATGTTGAAGTGCGTGACGGACATAACAACGATTCTCCCTTAATCGGCGTTTATTGCGGATACAAGATACCACCAGATATTAAGTCGACGGGAAACAAGCTACTCGTTAAGTTTGTCAGCGATGGTTCTGTTCAAAAGGCCGGTTTCTCAGCTACTTTTATGAAAGGTGTGTAAAACATCAGAAAACAGCAGTAATCAAGAACTTATACGTATATCGTATATCGTGTATATCGTGTATATCACACTCTTATGTGTTAATTTCATTGTTATATTTAATGCTGATTTTACAATGGGTCGGTGAAGTTGATCTCTAGCCAACTTGTACGACTAATGCTGATTGGCCAACTTCATTGATTAAGTCTAAGACTTCCGGCTGCAGACTCATTGTAGAATCAGCCTAATACCCTAATACAATAATCGTACATGATGAACGATGTTACTTTAATGTTTAAGAATTCGATGAATGCGTGTTAACGGATCACGGTTGTGAACATGATTGCATCAATACACTTGGTGGATATGAATGTTCTTGTAAAATTGGTTTCGAGTTACATTCTGACGGCAAACATTGCGAAGGTAAAGTGCAATGCGATTCTCTCTTAAAATCTCTGGAAAATCTGTTTAATTTAGTTAACCAGTATAATAAGTAAAATTTTCTATTTCCATAGATGCTTGTGGTGGATTTTTCGATGATAGTAATGGCACTATTACAAGTCCATCCTTTCCCGAAACTTATCCAGGAAACAAAAACTGTGTCTGGGAAATTATCGCTCCGCCTCAATATCGTATCACTCTAAACTTTACACATTTTGATCTCGAAGGTAACAATGTATACCAGGAAGAATGCGAGTACGACTCTGTAGAAGTGGCGAGTAAACTTGGAGACGACGTTCTTAGAAAACATGGGATATTTTGTGGTGCACGATTACCGCCACTTATCACATCCGAAGGCAACTTTATGAGGATTACTTTCACATCTGATAACAGGTTTTATTTTGTGTCGACTATCTTATAATATCTAGTTTATACATGCAGTATAATATGAGATCCTTATATATTACAGAAAAAAAACATAGTGTTATTTCGTCATGTTTTGATCGATGCATTTACTCATATTATTTCATCAGTACTTAACTGAGCAATCAATGCATATATATATATTATACATATAGAATGGTGTTTGTTCTAAGAAAATGCGCGTTCTTTTGTCTTTTTTCTTCACACAAAAAATTGAAAATCAAATTGATTTATTGTACATATACATACCTACATTGTATACATCATATAATGCATGTACATACCTATATATACATCTACGTATACAGAGTGTTTCAAAATTCGTGCCCGCGAAGTACAAGATATTTTATGCTAAAACAAACAATTTTTTCCTTTAACAAAATTGCATAAATAATTTTTGCGCTTATTTGTTAACTTCAACGAGTTTTCCTGTAAAAACTACTTGTCAGATGCAATTTTGCAAACGGAAAAAGTTATTTCTTTTAACATAAAGTATCATATCTTGTATTTCACGGGTGCGAATTTTTGAAACACCCTGTACACACACACACACACACACACATGCGCGCGCGCGCGCGCGCATACGGATACATATATATATATATATATATATATATACACCTGTTGTCCCATTTTAACTTTGACACCGAAATATCTCAAAAATTATAAAAGATATGGAAAGATGTTTTAGACAAAAATTGTTTAGAGTTTAAAAAGGTTTATTTACTGATCATATCCATTTGACATTGAGTGACGTTGCTAAGGTCAGGACAAGATCACTTTGAATTTTATAAATACTATATATGTACATATATACAAATTTTGTATAAATATAAAAGTACCATGCATAGATAGCAGAACACGGTTTCAATTTTTTGTTATGTTAAACAAAATATTTCCTTAGAACTTTCATATTAAATTATTTTACATCGGTATAAATCAGTTGAGACTTGCATTGTCGGCAGGAACAATCGATTATACTCTTGTCATTTGCACTGCACGTTTTATTGAACAGCGTCCAAAAATCAGGCTTTGCTGCCGTATTTTTCACTGATATGGATGAGTGTGCCAATAACAACGGTGGATGTCAGCACGAGTGCAAAAATACGATAGGTTCTTATCAGTGTTCTTGCCACAATGGATTCACACTTCATGAAAATGGTCACGATTGTAAAGAGGGTGGCTGCAAATACGAGATTACTACGCCCATGGGAACAATCACCTCACCAAATTATCCGGATTATTATCCTGGACGTAAAGATTGCGTTTGGCATTTTACTACGAAACCAGGCCATCGAATAAAATTGGTTCGTACTATATATTTTTTTGTAAAGTTATCGGATACATATTATGGCTGGTATTCATATATAGTCTGTTTTTCTGTTTTCATATATAGTCTGATTTCAATAAAATCATCATGTCTTAAGATGCTAAAATATGACTCTATTTGTGATTGCGATTTATGACTAGAGATGCAATTAGATATCCAGCTAATATATGCAGGTTTCTGGCTCTCTCTCTCTCTCTCTCTCTTTATATATATAT